TAAAATATTAAACATAGTTTGAACTACACTGTTATTAGGGTTGAGGATACATTTGAAATATGTTAGTAGTCTGGGTTTTGTTTTGCTTTGTTTTTTTACCCGAGACAGAGTTTCTCTGTATAGAAAGTCCTTGCTGTCCTAGAACTTGCATTATTGATTTGTGTGTAATTCTCTGCTTTTCCTGTTTGCATTTGTTTGTATACATATCTATTATTCTTAATGCATGTTATGCTTAAAAGTGGAATCATACTAGTACTGAGTCCATTCCTAACTCTGATTTGTCTCCTACCCAGGTTTTTATCAAGCTGTGTTCTGTGAAATACACTGATCCAGCATACTTGGGTGGCTGAGAAAGTTTTATCAAGTCAGTTTAGTGCAGCACATTGGTTAGAGGTTATCCAGGCACGTGGGCATGTAAAGGCTCCGGTTTTTACAGTAAACAAGATTGTCCATATTTATCTTGAAACCCTCCATAAATTCTTGAATATAAAACACTGTAATGTGTAGGGTTGTTTTGGTCATGCTGATCTGGAAAATGTGACGAAAAGTATGAATAAGGTGTTCTTTAAAGCTTTTAAAAACTTCAAATAAAATTGACTGCTTCTGACTAACTTTTCAAAAATTAAAGCATTTAGATAACTGATGATTATATTTTCTTACAGAAATTATATTTTTAAGTACAGTGTTGATTTTTTTTCACCTGAGAAATTACCTTTCAGTACTGTGGAGTCTTTAAAGAGAATCTGTAAGACTATAAAGATTGTGCCTTTTTTGTTGGAAAGGATTTCTTTGTTTTTTATGCTAAACTATGTTTCTTCCATATATAGTTAAAAAGTATGTTTACTATTTCAGAGAGCATGACACCGGAAATGAGGCCTCCCAAACTTGCCTTTATGTCAAGAGATGATGGTGACAAAGGTTCATCTAGTATTAATGAACCAAAGGTTACAGGTATGGAGCCCATTCTTGGTAGTTTACAATATGATAATATGATTCTCCAAGATGTTAAATAAGCTATATGTTAATGTGTGTGTGTATTTGTATATATGTATATATATGTATACATATAGTTTGTGCCTATCCTTTATGTACATGATTTTAAGTGAGGATGTAGTAAAGAAACCACTGAAATGGCCAGCCTATGAGCTGTGGAGGGAGCTTTTTATTTGGATAAGAGAGAGAACAGCTGGCGGTGTTACACGCCTTCAATCCCAGCTCTCAGGAGGCAAAGGCAGGTGGATCTCTGTGTTTGAGGACAGCCTGGTTGACAGAGCAAGTTCCAGCGAAAAACACTAGAGGGGGAGAGAGAGAGAGAGAGAGAGAGGAAGGGAGGGAGCTTCTAATGCACACCAGAAAAAGTTTCAGCCTGTGTTCTGCTTGTTCTGCTGAGCTTTGTCTAAATGAACCTTTAGGAGCTGACTGCCATGCATTCACACGGAGTATCCACAGTTTCACTTGGGAAGAACAAGTCCCCAAGGATGGTGTCATGTACAGCTGCCAGGGTGCAGCTTTTGGTGCTTTTGCTTATTTTTTTGTACAGCTTTTCTGAGTTGGCTTGGGCAGAATCTTCTTTGAGCAGTGAAGACTGCATGCTTGCCACTAACCTTTTTCTCTAATTCATGAACCATCCGGACTTGGATTTTCTGGAAAGATTTCTTCTGAGAAACTGGTGCTAAAATGAGGATTGCTTTCTGACCATCAGCAGCTTCAGTTTCCTTGGCTGTGGTGGGTGATACTGAGTTTCTAAGCTGTGCCTTGAGATCTGAGTTCATCTCCAGCTCAAGCAGTGCATGAGAGATGCTAGACTCGAAGTCATGTCTTCTTGTCGTCATCAGGCTTCCTAGTCTTGGTGCTTGAGCTGATCCTGGCCTTCTCCTGAAAGGAGGAAAGTACCCCTGGTCATATGGGTCGTGGGCTGCATTGTCAGGCCATTGACAGGCACAGGCCGAATATTCCACCACATCCCTAATGAGGGCACAGAGCCTCGGAGGTCCATCCTCCTAAACTACAAAGAACAAGAAATTGTGTTAATAAAATTCTAAGATGTTTATATTGTAAATCTAAAAAAAATATATTATTTCTTTTGTAATGTTGGGGATCAAAGTCAACAGAAACTTATAAGCTAGGTAAGTCCTTTTTTACTCAGGTATTGTTCCAGACAGTGAGATTACTTTTTTATTTTTATTTTTTGGTGCTTGCATCAAATCTGGCATCTTACACAAACTAAAATAGGACTCTACTCCTGAGCCATATATCCACCCAAAACCTGAATGTTTTTTAACTTAATTTGTTCATCAGCTTGTATGATCACATTTGAAGTTTATGAAGGGAAATTATAATGATGAGTCACTTATTACTGGGATGAGTTCTGATAAGTGCATCATTCAGCAGTTTGTTTTCTTGTGTGACTTTTTTTTTTACGAGACCTCTTGTTTGTTCCCAGCTGCTCAGCCCCAAAATAATCACACAGAAACCATATTATTTGCAATACTGTTTGGCCAATAGCTTAAGCATATTTCTGGCTAACTCATCTAAAATTAATCCATCTCCATTAATCTGTGTATTGCTACTAGGCTGTGGCTGACCAGGTATAGTTCTGGCATCTCCTGTGGGGCTATATGACTTCTCATTGACTCTGCCCTTCTTCCTCCCAGCATTCAGTTTTCCCCACCTAGCTCTGTTCTACTCTATCAGGCCATGCCAATTTCTTTATTAACCAATGGTATTCACAGCATGCGGAGGAGAATCCCACATCATGTGACCATCATAGAATGCACTTCACAAACCTTGGTGAAAGAACTTTGTGTATGTCTAGGCTCTATAACACTGCTGGATGTTCTTTTGTTGACTGCAACGGGGTTTCATCCTGTGGATCGTGACCCCTTTGGGGTTTGAATGACCCTTTTATTGGGGTCGTTTAAGACCTTTGGAAAAGAAAGATATTTATATTGCAATTCATAACAGTGGTAAAATTGCAGTTATAAAGTAACAACGAAAATAATTTTCTGGTTGGGGTTTGCCACAGTTTGAGGTATATATAAAGGATGGCAGAATTAGGAAGGTGGAAAACCACTGTTATATGGTATGAATGATAGAGGTGATATTCGTGAGCCAGTAATTTCATCAAAGTAGAGGTGACATTGAAAAATAGACTACATGGAATGATTTTTTTTTTGTCCAGATTTCTTTAGATAGTCTGTAGTGTCCTGGAACTTGCTCAATAGGCCAGGATGGCCTCAAACTCAGATGTGTCTGCCTCTACTAAGTTCTGGGATTAAAGGCTCGTGTCACCACTGACCACCAGAATGGTTTCTTAGAGCTTTAATATAAACGGCTAACTTTTATATTAATTTTATAGCTCCTACTCTCTTCTGTGTTGACTAATTACCAAACTTTTAAAGCCAAAGACAATACAATACTATGTATATGTATATTAGTTGTGTGAGCAGTTGTTCTACCATACGCATGTTAATTTATTTATAAAATTTCTTTTTATAACATATTGGCTTTTTAAAAAAGGAACTTTTCTTGTTCCATAGGATCTACCTCAGACCCTGGAAGTAGAACCAGTTCTGAATTATTTTATACCTTAAGTGGGTCATCTGTTGATTCACAACAACAATCCAAATCCAAAAATTCATTGTATATAGATGAAGGTAATCTATAATTTTAGTCCTCTTTATAATGGTACCCTCTGTTTAATATGTAAGGGGAAATGACTTTTTCATCAATATTTGTTAATTTTGGAAACAGTGAATAGATCATAGCTAATATGACAATATTGCTGAACTAAAATATTAAACATAGTTTCAACTACACTGTTATTAGGGTTGAGGATACATTTGAAATATGTTAGTAGTCTGGGTTTTGTTTTGCTTTGTTTTTTTTACCCAAGACAGAGTTTCTCTGTATAAAAAGTCCTGGCTGTCCTAGAACTTGCTCTGTTGAGCAGACTGGCCTCGAACTCACAGAGACTCACCTGCTTCTGGTTTCTGAGTGTTGAGATTAAAAGTGTACACCACTATGCTGAGCAGTTTGTTCTTATCTCTTAATACCTCTGCTTAGATTCAACTGTTTCTAGAAATGAAGTGACTCATTTAAAGCCTTGCCTATCTTACTTTCTTCAAAACACACTACCTTTCCTTGTTTCCTAGATATCATTCTCCTTTCATGTATTTATTTCCTTCATCTGTGCAAGTTAATTACCTGGAAATCCTTCTAGTTCTTCCAGTTCAATGGTCTGGCTGACTGCTCTTCACCTCTTAAACTGAAACCTTTCCTCCCGCTGTACTCACTCACTCTCTTAGGTTAGGTTAAGTGTCCCTGAAGTTGTTTTGGTTTTTTGCCTGATTTTCTATAAGTTCCTAGTGCTTCTACAGTGCTTTGTATTCAGGAGATTCAGTAAACTAAATGAAAATATAGTGTTCTAAGTCTCTATGATGACTGCTTATGACATGGATTCAGTTATAAGCTAAAACACACAGTACAGTCTACAGTTGGATACTATAGGTTACATATATACTTACACAGAAAGTGACCTGAGTGGGTATTTGCCACATCTGATTCTCGCACTGAGTGGGGTTTTGTGAGCATAGGCAGCATGACCTGCCTCTCTCAAGAATTCATTCATCCTGGGCCGGAGAGATGGCTCAGAGATTAAGAGCACTGTCTGTTCTTCCAGAGGTTATTTAGAATTATTATTTAATTTTTATATCTCTTTATACTAATTTCTAATTTAATCACATTATGGGAAAGAATATAATCCATGTGATACTGACTAGACTTAGATACCAATGCCAGATTACTGAGACAGGAATCTGTGGAGGTCGAGAAGAGGAGCAAAAATATTATTCAGAGCCAATGAGTTTACAGTGCTTTCAAGCAGACTTGCAAAGGGATCATGTGATCAGTTAGACTAGAACTTTGTATTGTTTTTAGAAGATGCAGTCATATTTAATGTTCTTGAACAGCCTTTTCTAATTAAGGACAATTTTTCATAGTTGCAGAAGATCCTGCAAAGTCACTTACAGAGCTGTCTCCAGACTTTGGACATTCATCACCTCCACCACAACCTCCTTCCATGAACTCCTTATCCAGCGAGAACAGATTGCACTCTCTACCGTTCAGCCTGACCAAGATGCCCAATACTAACGGCAGCATTGCTCACAGCCCACTGTCATTGTCAGTGCAGTGTGTGATGGGCGAGCTGAACAGCTTGCCTGTCCAGAAGAGTCCACCTTTGCCCATCTCTTCTGGTAATGCATACGGCCTAGAGGTGGGCTCACTGGCTGAAGTGAAAAAGAATCCCCCGTTCTATGGGGTTATCCGTTGGATTGGCCAGCCGCCTGGGCTCAGTGACGTGCTAGCTGGGCTGGAACTGGTAATTTGTTTTGGCTTGAAATCTACAACTTTTCTTCATGGGTTTTAAAACTACGTTTTCCTCTATTAGATAATTTATTGGGTAGTTATTTTTTCTCAAAAAAAATTCAGTAGTAGAGGAAATATAGTATTGCTTGCCTTCACCCTTTGCCATTGCTAAGGCTTCTCACTCACTTATTCCTCATGTTTGTTTGTGATCAAGGAATAGATTGATTTTTAGGCTAGAACATGTAATCTCCACATACAAACAGAATGCAGCAAAGAAAGCAGTTCAGTGACCAGTTCTCCTTCTTATTCTTTAGCCTCCTCCCATTGCAGTCAGTTCAGGGATGTGACTGACTTTAAAATTAATCATGTTTGGAGTCTTTGGGAGAGGGGAAGGTTTTATTTTTGGCTCTAAAAAAAGTATATTGTGTGATATTTCATAACCAGGAGGGAGAATTTGAATAAATTTAGCTATTGCCTAAATATAGTTTTTAACTTTTTTTCACTTGTCTTCTTGCTGTTGAGGAACTAGGCAATTTATCTACTCCTGCCCCTTGATTTTAATACTTTTGAAATGGCTCAGGGAAACTCAGTAAACCAAGGAAGTTCTAAGCATGTATTTTGAAAGGAAATGCATCAAATACTTCCTGGAGGGCTAAAGAATTATTTTCTTAAACCACCAGCTGAGGGCCAAAGCACCAGTTAGTCAGTCCCTTTTCCTTCGTGCTGATCTGTTCAGAAAAGATTTGAAAGAGAAATTCAGAAAAAGTGAAAACTCCATAGCTCTTCCCGGTGTAACACATACCAAAACCTTTCTTTTTCAGGAGGATGAATGTGCGGGCTGTACAGATGGCACGTTCAGGGGCACGCGCTATTTCACCTGCGACGTGAAGAAGGCTCTGTTTGTGAAATTGAAGAGCTGCAGACCGGACTCTAGGTTTGATTTTCTGGAGCCTGTTTATAATCAGATTGAAAGGTGTAATTCTTTAGGTAATTGGATACTTTTAATTTATTTACCCATCTGGAATGACTGTTTCTTGCTACATTTTAGCATCTGAGGGTGACAGTGTTTAAATGTTTTATTTACTTGCCAGTGTTCATGAAGTTTCGAAGTTGGTAAAGATTCTTACTTGGTGCATAAGAGAGTTGTCCTAAGAGGAGATATGTTGAAAGAAGAGTTAGGAAAAGTGTTTAGGGTCTAAAGACTGAAAGGCGGTGTTTTTTCTTCTCTTTTATTGATTATAGACATTAAATTTTTGGCAGTGTGGGTGGTAGAAATGAAAATGTGGTCCCTTTAGCAATAACTTCCCCCTCCGCATCTTTTTAAGTACCTCATTTCGGATGTCCTTATGAAGAAATCTGATACAGTCTGGGGATGCAGTTGGCTTGACAGATGGAGGACAATTCTTCTCATTGTCACTAGCTTGCTGATGCTGGCCTTACCCTTAACAATAGTGAGAGTCAAGCAGGGGGAAATAGGGAAAACATCTTTATGAAAAACATTTTTCTTAATGTTGAAGAGTATTTTGGAAACTTGTTTTGTTTTTATACTTGAAAATGAAACATTTTGGACAAGTAACAAAATATTCTTTGACAGATGCTTAATTGACTTAATTTTCTAAACTCTATATGACAGGAATGATGTTGAAAGTGAATAATTGAATTTTTATAAGTGCAGATAAATATCAGTAAACTAAAGTAAAAAAAATGCAGAAGATGCCAAAATATACTTTAAATGATATATATGTACATGCATATGAATATATACTGTCATGATTTAAAAGAATTATCTTTATTTTTTATCTTTTCAGTATTTGGAGGCTACTTAAGTGAAGTAGTAGAAGAAAATACTCCACCAAAGATGGAAAAAGAAGGTTTAGAGATAATGGTTGGAAAGAAGAAAGGCATCCAGGGCTATTACAATTCTTGTTACTTGGACTCAACTTTATTCAGGTAAGTTCCTATTTTCTGCAGTAAGTGTAAATAGTGCTGTGTGGGGGAGAGGGGAGACAGGTATGTGTGTGTGTGTGTGTGTATATGGAAGAAGGTGCCAGTTGCCTTTGAGTAGAGAAACTGACAGAGTTAGGAAAGATCATGAGATTTGGTCCTTAGTGACTAAAGAATTTCATATCCTATTCCTAGATCCAAAGCACTAATATAAAAATACTGCAGTGAATATTGAGTGAACAGATACTCTGAGGACATCTGCCTCCAGTGTAGATGATGGCACGTGTGCCAAGTAACCTGCAGCAAGCTATTGGCATTGCGTGCTGCGTGTGTTCTGGAATATCGAGATGATCATAAAAATTCTTAATATTAAAAATTACTTTCCATGGGATCACTGTTGCCCTCCTTTGTGTAGTTTTCCCTAAAGTGGATCAAGTTGAACAGCAAGGATCATTAGGCTATGAAGACTGAATCTGTAGCCGTAAGGGTTGTGCACTGCCAGTGAAGTGGATCTGCCACTCCGTAGGCTGTGCCACAAGAGTTAGGAAGTTAGTATGGAAGTTAGAATTTTAAAGGAGAGAGCACAATAAAGGTGGGTCTTGTCGTTGCTGGAATACTTTTGATTAAACAAACAAGCAAGCATTACTATAATATTCCTTAGATTTGCTGATAAAAATTTATTTTAACTAAATTTATTTTCTTTGATACCAGCAAATTTTTATTGCTAATCTCTCACAAGTTATTATAAGGAAATGCCTATCTTATGATAATGAGATGAATTTGTCCTGACTAGTCTGATCTGGTCTTGACCAGTCTCTGACTTTCGCCCTATGTTGTCTGTGTGTGTGTGACCGATTTCCAGGCCTCTCTTGGTTTATGTAAACAAGCTTCTTTCATAATGTTCTCTGGCGTGTTTTCAACCTTCACTTGTATGGTGCAGTCTTGGTGTTTCTGTTCTGGATCTGCAGGGTCTCTGGGTACTGAGCACAGGGCCTGTGTGGTCTGTCCATGAGTTCTTAGACCAGTGGTTCCCTACACTTTATCGCTTTGCCTCTTCCTACTCCTTTAAGAATCTTTATCAGCCGGGCATTGGTGGCACATGCCTTTAATCCCAGCACTCGGGAGGCAGAGGCAGTCGGATTTCTGTGAGTTCGAGGCCAGCGTGGTCTACAAGAGCTAGTTCCAGGACAGGAAACAAAAGCTACAGAGAAACCCTGTCTCGAAAAATAAAATATAAAAAAATAAAAAAATATGAATCTTTCTCAAATATTATTGTTTTTATAACATGAGGAAAATATTCTTTTATTTTGCAGCTTATTTGCTTTTAGTTCTGTCCTGGATACTGTGTTGCTGAGACCCAAAGGAAAGAATGATATTGAGTATTATAGTGAGACCCAGGAGCTACTGAGGACAGCAATAGTCAATCCTCTGAGAATGTAAGTAGAGACATGTGTTTTGTCTTTAGTTGGTGTTCTGTTTACTGTTTTCTTGTATAGTAACTAATTTATGCTCTGGACTCATGTAGTAAAAAAGAAAGAATTTAGTTCTCATGAAATACTTACTTTTTAAAACCTTTATTTTTTGTCCTCTGTTTATGTGTTGTTTAGTCTGGGCAGTGCATTCTGTAAAATGATGGGACTCATTTGGAGTCATGCACTACAAGGTAGCAATGACATTGCACTAGAAACAAGTGAGGTATATTAAAGTGACATGGTATTTTGTTTGTTTAAAAGAATTTATTTAGGTCTTCTTTTACTCCTTTACTAAGGTAGTTGTAAATGTGCAGAAGACCATGTAGGAAGACTTTGATACATGATGGTGATGTGTGATGACTTCACAAGGCGTTTATGTGATGAAGAGTTAGGTTAGCCAGTGATCAGGAAACAGATAGCTCAGGGACATAGAGAACAAACTATACAATTTAAAGTCCAACTGTGATCAATTTAAAGTTTGTGATGCACTTTTCTCAACAGTGAAAATAAAAATTAACACAATATATTTAAAAATAACAAAATATGAAACTATAAGGAGTATTCCAAACGACGTACTGTGTCACATAGCTAAGAAAGTAAATGAAAAGTGAAACAAATTTCTCTAGATACTTGTTTGCCTTACTTTTCTAATCATCTTATCCTTTAATTATGTGCTTTGATTTTAATATTAATTATTTAGTCTTACACAAATTTTAAACTCTCAGATTTTTCTTTCCCTATGTAAATGACACTAGAACAGCACAGGTCAAATCTTAACCACAAGGCATATTATCACAACCTTCCTTCTTTTTAAAATACTGTCAATCCATCAGCAAACGTTTTTTGCATACGATTGCCCAACTAGTCCAGAATCATAGTTATTCTAATTTTGTCACCAGTCTATAGAAAACACTTGCTGCATGGCCTATGAGACCAAGGTGCATCTTGTCAGGCATGGTGGGATATACCTGTAATCCCAGCACTTGATAGCTCAAGAGGTTAAGGCAAGATCAGTAGCTCAGAAATTTGAGATATATTTCTTGTGTCTGCAAATGTCATATCTGTTGTTTGGACAGAGGTTTTGCTTTCTGTATTGGAAGCTCCCACAGGCAGAGATCCTGTTTTGTTTATTTGTTTTTTTTTTGTTGTTGTTGTTAGGTTTCTTTAGTCTCCTTTTGTATTTTTGGTGCCCTATATATAGCATTACACAAGTGGTAGGTGTTTAGTGTTTGCTGACTGCAAAGAGCTACCAAGTAAGTGGATAGTCGCTCTAAAAAGCAGGTACACAGTATGATTAGCTGGCTCTGACTTGTTCTTGTAAGCCCATGGTCTCCTATAGTCAAACAAAGAGAATGTCATAATTATGTTGACTGTTTGATTTCAGACTTTAGATTTTTAGTATCTCATCAGTGCCCTTTTCCATGTCTCTTATCCTGTGTATAAGAAGGGCTTTCTCAAAGTTGGATATCCTATTTTATAAAATAAGTGTTTTAATATAATAAGCAAATGCCATTTAAAAATTGCTTCACCCAGGCTTCATAAAGAGTTGAGAATTGTATTAGTACATGGTAGTTATTTTTAAGGTGTTTACTAGTATCTGGAAACAACTCTGATTCTCAGACTTTCACTTTTCAAAGTTCTGTAAGAAGCCTACAGTTGTTTCTTAAAAATAAATGCCTTGTCTATTGTTTTTTAACATGTTAGAATTGTATGAAAAGTACTTGATTATTAAGATGTGCCATATGACTCACTGTGCCAGTGTCAGTTAATTCACTTTTATCAACAGATATGGATATGTGTGTGCCACAAAAATTATGAAACTGAGGAAAATACTTGAAAAAGTTCCTGCTGCATCAGGATTTACCTCTGAAGAAAAAGGTGACCCTTTTAATTTATAATATATGCATTGAAAATAACTTGAAAGTTTATCATCTAGTAATATGCTAAATTATTTCCTGAAATATACCTATTTAGTTTAGAGGATTAAATTTAAGTTAGAATTATTTGAGAGGGCTAGGAGTATACTCAGTGGTGGAGTATGTAAGAGGCCTTGGGTTTGATTCCCAGCACTGCAAAAATATGAAAAGTTTTTTTTCTATGTGACATGCATATTTCTCCTGATTTTGTGAATCTTCTGAAGTGATGTGATGTGGAAGAAGTCTTTAAGAGGCCAGCCGGCTGGCTCTACAGAAGATGACCAAGTAAAGAGCTGTCCTTGTCCTCAGCAGTGCTGTTCGGAGCTGCTTCTCTTCCTGTGATAGGGAGCGTCCCCAGCACTCAGTTTCTCACTGTGCTCCCTGTTGAAAGGGGCTGTGGAGCAGTTGGCCAGCACTTCTGTCTGCTTACAACTGAAGAATTTGCTCAGATTCAACTCCTGAATTAGTTTGTTAACTGTATACTATAACCAGCTGTGGCATTTATACACATGGCTATTACTAAAATAGAAGAAAAAATAGGACATATACCAGGTATATTCTACTGAACCCCCCAAAAGACAAAAATGATTTCACTGTGTGTGAATGAGTATATTCTGTTAAATAGGGCATCATGACAACAAATGAAAAAGTAATATTTTATTATAAGTTTTCCCTTCTCAAGAGAACCTGAAATAACTAAACTTTGAATTAATATGTCACTCTTAAAGAATTGAATGGTTTTTAAATATTCTCTGTGATTCACTTAGGTTTTTTTTTTTGTTTTCTCCTAGATCCTGAGGAATTTCTAAATATCCTGTTTCATGATATTTTAAGGGTTGAGCCATTGTTAAAAATAAGGTAGGTCTCAAGCTGTCTAGAAGCATTTCAGAAGTAGACCTTCTTTTACACTGCCATTGCCCAGTAGCTAAATGTTGCTAGCATAGATGTGGGTTTCACTAGCTGCTGTCCTCTCTCTAGCTACACTTAACTTCCAGGGCACAAGTGAACCTGTCCTTTTAATTAGCCCTAGTGACAGATGTGCCCACAATTTAATTACTTATGAAACTGAATAGTAATATTTTTGAAAGTTCAGTTAGTGAACTTTTAAAAGGAATCTTACTTTAACTGAATTTAAAAAAAGAAAAAAGAAAAAAAACAGGGAGAGCATTGTTTTTGCTTCCCATAACTTATAGTTAGCCTTAAGTTAGCTCTTTCGTTCTCAGTTTAGATCTTCCTTCTCCCCATATTGAAAGAACACCTGAGTTTACTGCGATACAGTTCTTAGTGGGATGTTTGAAATGTCTGTGCTTCCCAGGTCATTTGAATGGTGGGCCCCTCTTGATTTCAGTCTTGCTGTCTCTGGTGAAAATCTTAGGAGTGTGCTGCCTACTTCCTTAAGAACCCACACTGATGAGTTCTCTTTCCTCTTGTGTCTAAGCAATGCAGTTTGAACCAGGATTAAACTGATTGTGGGAGCAAGGAAAGTATCACAGTTAAATTTGGTTCTCTTCAGAAATCTCTAACTAGTGAACTGGCATAATGCATAAGCATTGGGTGTGCAAACTTATTAGCAAGTCCAAGTTGGGAATCGCTTTCTATGTACCTAGAAAATCCTAGAGAATTATCTACAAAGATTTAAGAAAAGAATTTATTATAGTCTAGCCATGTAAAAATTAATCATGGAAAACCAACAACATTTTTTATTCCTTCAAGCATATAGAAAAAGGAATATTTTATGTTTTAGGAAAGAAAGATAAGCAATCATTGGTTTCAAAGACAGAGTTAAAAAAGATTTATGCTGAGCTACAAGGCAGATTTGATTAATTAGTGAGAAAAAGTAAATAATTAAATATGTTAATATTTTGGTTTGTTTTATTCTTTTAATGATTTTTACATTCCAACTCCAGTTTCCCCTCCTTTCTCTCTTCCTAGTCCTTCCCTCCCACCTTCTCCCTCTCCCCCCATCCTCTCCTCTTTCATTTCTATTCAGAAGAGGGCAGGCCTCCCATGGAGATAAAGCAAACATGGAACATCAAGTTGCATATCAAGACTAGACACCTCCCTTGTATTAAGGCTGGAAAAGGCAATCCAATAGAGTTCCCAAAACTGGCAGAAGAGTCAGAGACAGCCCCTACTCCCACTGATAGGAATGTATATTGACAGAATCTTAACCTATTGTCTTTACCTTTTCTAAAAACTCAAAAAAAAAATGATTTTAGAGTTTTCTACAAAATGAAGTGGGTAAAAATGTTGGCGGGTTCTTTTATTTAAAAAAAGAATTCTACTGTAATTTGTAAAGGCAAAGCAATAAACATTAAAACAGTATATAATTAGAAGTATTTATCAGTAGACTTGAGTAGAAAACTCAATAGCATTGAAAGAAAAAATAGCATGATATAGGATATATGGTAGTTAGTTTGGGAAGAAAAGGTCAGTTTTTTGGGGGTTGGTTTATTTTTCTTTTCTTTTTTTCTTCTTCTTAGTTTTGTTGTGAGATAAACCTCTAAACATATCTGTAAAAAAGTTTTCTGGTTGGGTTGAGGCTGAGAGTGTGAGGTGCGGTCCATCTTGGTGCATTTGTAGTGGGACTGTACCTCAGCCGGTGTCCCTGCTTCTGCAAGGGAAGCAGATGGAGATGAATGCAGGTGCTCAGCTCACTTTCTCCTTCTCATTCTGGGGCCCAAACTTGTGAAATTGTGCTGCCCACATTTAGGGTGGATCTTCTCACCTCAACCCAATCACCAAACTTTTTACAGTTATGTTTAGAGGTTTATCTCATAGATGATTCCAGATCCTGTCAAGTTAACAATGTTAACATCACAAGACCACTTATTGTCAACTTGATACCCAAATATACGGTCCTTGGGCTTCCCACAGGTCAGGGAACCCTGATTGCTCTTTGAGCAGATGAGGGAGGGGGGCTTGATCGGGGGAGGGGGAGGGAAATGGGAGGCGGTAGCGGGGAGGAGGCAGAAATCCTTAATAAACAAATTTAAAAAATAAAAAAAATAAAAATACATTTAATTTTATTTTTAATTGTGTGTATGAGTTCAGTCCCAACAGAGGCCAGAAGAGGATGTCAGATTTCCTTAAGCTGGAATTACAGGCAGTTGCGAACTACCTGTTGTGGGTTCTGGGGACTGAGCTTTGGTTCTCTGTAAGGGCAGTGTGCTGTCTTAACCTCTTGATAGCTGAGACATTTCCTACCACTTTTGGTTAAGAGCCTTAGTTTTTTTTTTTTTTTTTGTTTTTGTTTTTGGGTTTTTTTTTCATGGCTGAACTCTCTCTCTCTCTTAGGCCCCAAGTTTTTTGAGACAGGATTTCTTTGTGTAACAGTCTTGGCTACTGGCTGTCCTGGAATTCACTTTGTAGACCAGACTGACCTCAAACTCACAGAGATCCGCTTGCCTCTGTCCCCTGAGTGCTCAAATTAAGTGCATGCTTCACCACACCCGACTTAAACATATGATTTTAAAGCTATTACTTTCTACTTTTTGTCCCGATAGGTTCTTGATCATCTTTAATGCAGAATACATTCATTCTAACTTCAGAAGTTTCCATAATTTTTAATGTTCCAACACTGTTCAAAAATAGTCTTTTTAACCATGAGTTCCTGAAAAACCAATAAACAAATTTTATACTTCCAGCTTACAGTGGCACAGGGTTGGTTCTCATCCCAAAAGAAAGGAGTTGGGGGCAAAGCAAGCAAAGAAAGGTCAGACCAAACAAGAGTAACAAGAGCATGAAGGCAGGGCGACCCAGGCTCCTTGTGGCTGGGCAGTGACGTCACAAGCTTCACAAGCTCATCATGGAGCTGCAGGATTTTGGAATGAGTATAGGACCTCAGGACTCACCTATTATGGTCCAGACCACACCAATCCGTGAATGTTTTTATATTCATGTTTGTAAAATGTCAATATCCACTTTTTAAAATTCATCAAATTTGTATTCTTGTGCCCTTGGATTGTCCCTGGTGGAAAATACAACCCAACTATCATGGATTGGTACAGTTTCACAACTTGGTTATGATTCTGTAGGTTTCCAAACTTCTAAAACACTAGCCGTGGGGTTATTTAATTATTTTTATCATTTTCTAAAATTTTCATAAACCCCATATTGTATATTGAGTATGTTTCCCCTGTACCTCCATACTTTCTATCCCTTTCCATGTCTCCCTCCTCATAGTTCCTTTGTTCCTTAGGCAGCATCACGTCTACTTTCATGTCATATACAAATTAATGCTTTTTGTCTATCTGTAGAAGATCTAGGAGCCATAAATGGGAGAAAACATACATTGTTTCTCTTTATGGGACTGGTTTAATTTGTTTAGTATGTTTATTTCCAGTTGTATCCATTTTTTATTACTGACATACTTTGTTCTTTATGGTTAAAAGGACTCCCCTGTGCATATGATTTGAGGAGTGATTTTTGTTGTTTTGTTTTTCATTTTAGATTTGGTTTGATTTTTTGAGACAGGTTTCTCTATATAGCCCTGACTGTCCTGAAACTTGCTTTATAGATCAGGCTGGCCTCGAACTTACAGAGATCCACCTGCCTCGGTCTCCTGAGTGCTGGGATTAAAAGTGTGCACCACCATGCCTGGCCCTGGAAGTGAGTTTCGAGTGGCTGTTGTTCCTCCCAGTTTTCTGCTACAGTGTTAGGACACTATGTATCTTTCCTCCATTAACTAGCTGCCATGCCTCCTCCTGGCCATCCTTGATTTTTCTGGGTGTGATTTTTTTTTACCTCCATTATTTTTGTTTTCTCTTCTATGCTATTTTTAACTATGAATTTTTTCTATGACTTTTTTCTATGACTTTTTCTATGATTTTTTGTAGTCAACAACCAATTAAAATGTTATTCTAGAATAACTACTAGTTTCTTGAATTATAATCTGTTCTTATTAGCTTTGAGTTCTCAAGAGTGCTGTAGCTAGTTACCAGATTTTATGTTTTGTAAATTCAGGACATAATTTGCTTGGAGCAGCTGAAGATCACAATAAGCTGCTCCCTGAATTACAGAAGTTTTGTGATAAGAACTGCTGATAGTTTTTTTTTCTAAAACTCTTGAAATCTAGACATACATTTAAATAATCTGATTCTAAACCCAGAAACTTGGCTAAAAAGATAAGCGGTAAGCTGAAAGATGAAAATCAATTTTTCTCAGTAGAGTTAGTTTTAATGGTTACTAGTAAGCTGATAAGGGAAGGGAGATGTTGGACACCTCATGTTTCACCGTGACCATTTACCTGGTGTTTGTCAAGTCGGTGGGTGAGCATCTAAAGAGCTGCTGGTAGCTGAAAGCCTAGAGGATAGTTGTTAGGGTTCCTGGGAGTCACACCTTGCCCTGCTTTGACTTGCTAGAAAAGTATCCCTCCCTCCCTCCCTCCCTCCCTCCCTCCCTCCCTCCCTCCCTCTCTCCCTCCCTCCCAGGGCTTTTATTTTAAGAAGTAAAGAAGTTTGATTTAGAAGGTCTAAGAATCCGTCACTGAGGCATTGTAGCATTTGCTCTAGTCAGTAAAAGCAGTGCTCACAATTGTCTGTAAGTTCAGTTCCTGGGGACCTGACATCCGTGGTCAAACACCAATGTACATAAAATAAAAATTAATTTTTTAAAAAAGAGTATCTGCTACTTTCTAGATTTGGAGGGAGAAGAACTGATTATTGTTCATATAGTGTTTCTTGTCTGGAATATTATTCTACATTTTTCTTTTGATGGCAAGAGATCTTTCAAATAATTTATGAAGAAGGCAGAAGAACTAATTTATGAGGTCTTCTGCATAAGCACATTTAATTATCTCATCCGAATCATTGTCTTTCACCTGGTGTGTGGACAATCCAAAGCTGGACACGAGCATCATGATGCTGTGTCCTCAGGTCTGTCAGACGCTTCATACTCGATTCAGGCATTTGGTAGACGGCTTATATGCATTTCTTCCTGTGTGCTCCCAGATCAGCAGGTCAGAAAGTCCAAGACTGCGACTTCTATCAGATCTTTGTGGAAAAAAATGAGAAAGTTGGAGTTCCTACAACTCAACAGTTACTAGAATGGTCTTTTTTCAACAGTAACCTGAAATTTGCAGAGGTTAGTGATTCTAACTGGACTTGTACTGCTACTTTATTTTGTTTCTTATCAATGCTAGATATTAAACTCAGGCCTTTTGTACACACTACCCCAAGTGCTGCCCCACTGAACCACACCTAGCTATCACTGTGCTTTAACCAAGAATAGTTTGAAGAAATAGTTAAGAAGACACTTTTTTTTTAAAAAAAAAAAAGGTATTCTAACTTTGTTTCTTTTTAAAGATATCCGCTTAGCTGAAATTGGAATGTTTTGGATTTGGTTTGCAAAGGGAACAAAAGCTAATTTTTAAGTTTAAAGTAGCTTAATGCAAAGATATGTGTACATACATGTTTACGTTTTCAGTTGTCATTTTTCCCATGCATAGTATCTAAACATGTCAAAGGTAATGTTATTTTTTCTCCCTCTGTTAAGAGAGAAAATACCAATAAATTCTTGTGTATGGGTTTGCTAATGAATGCAATAGAAACGTCTCTTTGACTGTCAGAATTTGTGATCTCTGCAGTGCATGCCGTGGTCTGTTTTATCATGTTCGTCTTTGGGGGAGTCTGGAAAATCTGTAGCTTATTGCTGCTCTGCATCCACACTGCACATTCACAAGTGGGCTCTGCTTCATGGGCCAACAGCCCTGCTGAAACCACTACTGGGTTTGACAGCTATGACTATTTCAGTTTCATAGGGAAACTCGTTAGTCCAGGGGTTAGGACTCAAGGCTTTGGACATGCTAAGTAAGCAGTATATTGAGCTAAGTCCCCAGCTCCTTAAGATTTTGGTTTCTAAAGCGATGTGCCTTTTTTTTTTCTTTTTTAAGGCACCATCATGCTTGATTATTCAGATGCCTCGGTTTGGAAAAGACTTCAAAATGTTCAAAAAAATTTTCCCTTCTCTAGAATTAAATATAACGGATTTGCTTGAAGACAGTAAGTATATAGTCCTTTCTTTGTTTTTTGTTTTGTTTTGTTTTAGAAATAGTTGGCCTGGACTTTTCATTAGTTATGGGTATAGTACTTCTGACAGGTAATTCAGTATTTGAAGAGCTTAAACATACTAACTCAATAATTTGACTGCTAGAATTTATTCTTAAAAAAAAAGAGGTAAAAATAAATAATTTAAATGCAAATTTACTTACTATCTGACAAGAAATGTTAATAAGAGGGAAGTGGTTAACTGGATCATATGTCTAAACAATAGACCTATGTGAAAACAGTGTGTGGTAGTTATAGTGGAAGGGAAAGCATTGAGAGACTAGATGAGAGAAGCTTGAGATACACATGTACCTGGGTGCACATACTTTTATAAATATTCAGACAGAAAATTGTTACAGAAAGTTCATAATGCCAGTGATTGTTACTGACTTAAGATCATATGTGCTATTAGTCTTAAATACTTACTTTATATCTTTGAACATTTCATGACCAGAAGAACAATTCTAGAATAGGTTAACAAAAATGGCTATATGAAAAAAAGTCCTTAAAAATACTTCAGGTACAAAAAAAAAAATCCAAATGAAATTTTAAGAGGGTCAGAGAGGACTAGGCCTTTCTTCTCCCCAACCCCCAAGCATTCTTGTTTTCAAAGTATAGCTTTTACTTTTAACGACAGAATGTCTTTTAAAAAGGCTTCTTCCTTCCCTCTTTGCCTAGCTCCCAGGGAGTGTCGCATCTGTGGAGGACTTGCGATGTTCGAATGTAGAGATTGCTATGAAGACCCCGACATCACAGCAGGGAAGATCAAGCAGTTCTGTAAGACCTGCTGCACTCAGGTAATCCACACTCACTGCACCAGTCAGAGTCAAAGGGCATTTTAAACATTCACAGTAAATGTTATTGCTCATGTCTCTTCTGCCGGTGTGTGTGTGTGTGTGTAGAACTTGGCTGTGGTGGTCAATGAAAGTGATTAGAGTCTGCCCTTGAAACATGGCATTTAGCTCGCTTGTATTTTCTTCATGGTCCATTTTAGGTTCACCTCCATCCGAAGAGAATGAATCATACCTATCACCCAGTATCACTTCCCAAAGACTTGCCTGACTGGGACTGGAGACACGGATGCATCCCCTGCCAGAAGATGGAGTTATTTGCTGTTCTCTGCATAGAAACGAGCCACTATGTTGCTTTTGTGAAGTATGGGAAGGATGATTCAGCCTGGCTCTTCTTTGACAGCATGGCTGATCGAGATGGTATTTAAAACTTGTCTTTTGGAGGGAGATGCTTCCTAGTGAGAGCATGTGTTTGTGGTAATAGGGTATTTTGTGAGCAGATTCTTGAAAGAATACCACAGTGGGACGGACTTTATTCTTCAAAGGGTATTACTAATTCTGCTCCTCAAACTAAGGAGCAATAATGTTGTGCCATCTTGGTTTTTACGTGGATTTGTTAAAGAATCCTAGCCATAATCCCAGACTTGGGAAGTAGAGGATTGTGAATCAGAGGTCAGTTTGTATTGCATAGTGAGAACCTGTTTCAATTTGTCCCACCTCAAAAGAAAAAAAAAATTCTAAAATTTATTTAGAGCTGATTTTACCATCTTCTTCTTTGCATTTTTATATACAGTAGAGTAGCCATTTATTGAGGACATAAATGCCAAACTCTGTGGGAATCCTTTGGTCATGGAAATCATGCCTGTTTTTCTATTGTCTAAGCTAACGTTAAAGGTGGTGAAGGTTGCATGGTTTGTATTTAACTCAGTCTTCCTGATCTCATGCATTTTATTTCAGGAAGACACCTTTACTCATTGAGATGTTTTTAGGAAGCTTAGTCATTACTTAGTACACACTTGAGTGACAGGGGTCTTGGTAGTAAGGTACTTGTCACAGTACCTGTCCATACCCCATTTACTCTACAGCTCTTTTTCCAAGCCCTAGTTCCCCAGGTCTTCAGGTGTGACACTTTAATAACCAGAGGCACCGAGTGACAGCTTCTTGACCAGAGGCCCAAGCTGTAGACCAACAGTTCTTCATTTCTGCATAGCTCTGATGCCTGAGGGCACAGCCCACCCGTGTGCGCTTCACTCAGCATTAGCAGCATGACTTTTGGGAACGCACCTGGGAGAGCAAATCTGATCATCAGAGCACATGCGCGTTCTGATTATTAGTATCTAAATCAGCCGCGCTAGAGGTATGCAAGTATGTTCTTAAAACATAGGGAAACAGTAGTGCTCACAATTGGCTTCTAGTGGAAAAGAGTCAGGCTGCTAGTGTCTGGGAAGGACAGAAAAGCCTGAGGGGCCTAGAGTAGCAGTCTGCAAATCGGGACTGCAGCTTTTCCTAAGTGCCTGTCCTTTTACCAGGTTTTGTTTTGTTTTTTTTTTTTCACTTTTCTCTGCTTGAGCCCTCTCAGAAGCCAATAAAAGGAGACCGTAATTCTAGAAACTGAAAGTCAAACAAAGTTTTGTTTGTTTGTTTTGTTTTGTTTTTGATTCTGGGAGTCAGTCTACACTAAATTCTAGGATAGTAAAATTGTTCTGGTTGGACAGGCTGCGAAGAGGACTTAGAAGTTCGCTGCCCTAATGAGAGCTCTCTCTCTCTCCCTAGGGGGTGAAAATGGCTTCAACATCCCACAAGTGACACCCTGCCCCGAAGTGGGAGAGTACTTGAAGATGTCTCTGGAGGAGCTACACTCCTTGGATTCCAGAAGGATTCGAGGCTGTGCACGCAGACTTCTTTGTGATGCGTACATGTGCATGTACCAGAGTCCAACCATGAGCTTGTACAAATAACATGTCATCAGAAAGGGGCAGAGGCCAAGCACAAAGCTTAACACCATGTTTCGTCCAGCTGGCACCCATTGCCGGCAATGGGTGTCTTTTGTGTTGATGGCCCTTTAGCAAAGGATTTCTGTCTTTTTAAACAAATTACTTTTGTGTTCTTGAAGTATTTAATAAGCATTTTGCACTCTAGGAAGTATGTTTTGTTTGTTTTTTAAAAGTTTAAATGAAGTTTAGTTTAAATGAAGTTGTTTTGTTTTCTTTAAGTTTATTGAGTTTATTGCATTGATAATATAATATTTTTGGAAAGATACAATTTTAATTGTGACGTCTAAAATCTTGTAGTCCATTGAGGATGTAAGTAAATATTTCTTCTTATGGACCAAGTATATCCTTCTCAGAGTAGATAGGTCATGAGACCGGCACCACTCCCAGTGCTTCACCAGGGAGATGGTTGTTTAGTTCCCTAATGCAGCTGGGATAGGCGGAGAAGATGGAATGGTGGAAACTGGGGAGCAGAAAGTGGCCTGAGGAGGCAGTGAGCCGCCCATCACAGCAGAGGGCAGGACTTGTGGAGGCAAACTTCTGTGGCTTTGGGCCTTGGCCCTCTTATCAAGATGTCAAAGTGTGACTTCCTGGCAAGGAATTAGGCTCCTGTGTGAGCTGTTGTCTCAGGTGGGGGACTGGCTGGAGTTGTTGAGGGTCTATGCTTTGTCTTATTCTAGATCCTAAAGGGTTTCTCTTGGGCCCAAATGTGGTGACAAGCTGAAGCAGAGATGGCCAGGAGTAGTGAACAGTGGAAATACTGGGGATAAACCCTTGCTGGTGGGTGGCCTTAAATGGCGTTAATTTATCCTCAAGAGTACCGCAGGGTCCTGGCCACTCTCCTGGCAGTGCTGACCGTTTAGTGTCATCAGATTTTGGTTTCTTATTTTCTTCCTAACGGATTTGAGGGAGAAGGTCTGTTGATGTAGGGATGGTCCTTCCAGGCACTGTAGGCCTCTGCACAGTTCTCTTGTGCTTTTAACTACTGTTGATGTTCACTAGTTATTCAGTCTAAAGGGATTATGCGGGAGACGCAGCTTCTTTGGTTTTATATTATGAAATAGCCTTGTATTGTGGGATGTTAACTCTGGAGAGTCGCCCTCATACTCAAAGTATTCATTAAAAAAAAATCCCCTGATACTCCCTAGGGGTGTGTGGCTATTATCAGGCTGACCCAAAGGAACACATTTTGTATTCCGTTTCCTTTACTTGTATCTTGTTAAAAATTTTTTGCCTGAAGAATATTCTTTTGTTTGTGAAAACATAAATAACATTGTATAAAACAGTCCCTTTCTGTCAGAATGCTCCAATGTAGCCTTAACTTTGTTAAACGAGACGATTGAAGTGCTGTTATGGAAAGATATGTACCATGTACTATTTCTGTATCATTAAAACGCAGTTTTTATGGTTCTTTCTCTTTGATTTCTTTAGCGGAAGGGTCTTGGGTTGGGGGAACATAGAAGTTGGTTCTTCATCAAGCTTCCAGGCACACATTGTGTCTAGGGCATGTTTTAGGGTGTCGCCATTTGACTCTGGGCCATAGCATGGCCTCTACCCACTCTGAATATGTGCTGGCTATGGCTCATCACCACCATCTCTAAGCCTCCAGACACAGCTTACTCCTCCCAAGATGCTATTTCACCTGCAGGTATGTGGTCCAGAGCTGTGTGTTTCACAGGGTGCGTGCTGGGCCTAAGAACTGCCAAGGATGTGGCTGCTTCTCTGTAATGCCCAGGGAATGATCCCATGACATTTTAGGAACTGGTTTTTACTCCAGGCTTCTTTTAGATAATAAAATGCATGAGAAGTCCTCCTTCCTTGGAGACTAAGCCCCTCACTGCGTACAGGAAGGGACACTAGACTGATCTGAGTTTTATTGCTGCTGTAGTATGTCAAGGTTTCTGTTTAGAAAACACACAGCTTACAACATGACCATGCTGGTAACAGCATGCCGCAGCTCTACTTTTTCCTGCTGAATTCAGAGGTTGGCAAACACTTTCAGAGATTTTACTCTTGCATTTGGGCATATTGATGTGACAGGCATTGCACTGCCCATCTGTGTATACGAACAGTCAAGTGAAGATCCAGTCTTTGATGAAGAAAGCTGACCTAGCCAGAGGAACTCCGAATCTACCCTTGACTTATGACCAGGCTCCCTGACACAGTCTGAAGAATGGGACACACTGTCAGTAAGGGGTTTCCATCCTGGCTAGAGGTCGGGTCTGCACAAGGATGTTTTCCCATGGTGCTCATGGCTGGACGTAGGCCCATGGGAATATCCAAAGGTGACTCAGAGGTATTTGTCTCTTGTGCAGCCAAGTAGGAACCACTTATGGACAGAGTTTTTCAAGGGAAGCAATCCTCACATCATCCCTTCTGGGAACCTTCTGCTCCAGTGGAAGACAGGCTGTGGGTGAAAGTTCCGGAGGGAAGTAGAAAAGTATGGGAAAGCTGCTGACTCAGCCTTTGAAGAAAGGTAGGGGAGGTGTGTGTTGGATGTAGGAGAGTTGAGTTTAGTTTGAATAAAGAATACTGTTGGGGCAGGAGAGATGGTTCAGTGGTTAAGAGCACTGGCTGCTCTTCCCCAGGACCTGAGTTCAAACCCCCTACACCCACATGGTGGCTCACAGCCATTGGAAGTTCCATTCCCAGAGGAATTTTCTGGACTCTGAAGGCAACATCGGTGCACAGAAATACATGGAGGCAAACACCTATGCACATAAAAGCAAAGATTAAAAAATTTAGAATGCCAATATGGGCACTGTGAGGATGCTATGTGTTTTGTTTGGGAAACATTCCAAAGTGTGTGTGAATTCCACGTGTTGTTTCTGATGTCATTCAAAAGAACAACCCACCAGTTATAGGGAGCAACAGTTTGTGACAGTTCCCTGCCTGTCTTCACCTGTTGGTAAACAGCAGATCTCAGTGGCCTGCCAGCCATGGTGGGGAACAGCTTTACAGTGTTCAGTTTTGATGGAAGGGGTTGTTCCTGGGATCTGATTACAGCCGGGAGGTGATTGAAGACTGACCTGCAAATTATGGGAACTGGGTGATTTCACTTAGCAAGGAGCTCTTGTTACAAGAGGGACTAAAATCTGCAAGGATTTTATCAGTCGACACTACCGCTTCTCAAGACTGTATGTCACTGTGGTGGGCTCTGCTTGGTGGCCGGTTGGTCTCACCAGCCTGTGGAATATACGCTTCCCAGCTCTGTGCTCCACTAGCCACAGAGGATCAAGGCTGTTAGGGGTTGTCATGAGGTGTGACACAGCAGGCAGACCTGCTAAGTCAGAGGTTCCCCCAGAGAAGCATTACGGGAGGTCTTGAAGACAGCGACTGCGGGCCTGGAGGATGGGAAGCTGAGCTCAGAGTGTGGGGGACATGGGAGCAACCCTGATGGTTTCCTCTGCTTGTTTTGTGGCAGACTCCATACCGTGGCCATTGCAAGCTATCAGAGCTCAGCAGCTGGAACTGGAAATGGGCACAGAAGGGTTCTTCAGAAAAGTGCAGAGCATGTCCACTCCAAATGCTAGGGTCTGGACCAGGGCTCTGCACACTGCCTGGGAAGCGGGCCTAGCCCAATACCGTTTTCCCAAGTGGCAGTGTGGTGGGGCACGATCATACCCACTCACCTATTCTGCGTGGGTCTGGCAACAGCCGAATTGTGGAACTTTTACAGAAAACTTGAAGCCCGCACAGCCTAAAGTATTTACTCTCTGGATAGTTCCAGAAAAATCTACCCGCTGCTGCTACGGCTTTGGTAAGACAGATACGTAAAGGAAGGGTTGAGTCTCTAAAGGCTGGTCGTCTTGTACATGTAATTAATTATGCATCTCTCTCCTCTGTTCCTCTCTCTCTCTCTCTCTCTCTCTCTCTCTCTCTCTCTCTCTCTCTCTCTCTTTGAGGCAAGGTCTCATTAAATAGCCTAGGGTGAACTGGAATTTGCCATAATCCTCCTGCCTCGGTTTTCTGAGTACTGGGATTACAGGTGTGAATCAAGTTAAACCTGCCTCGGTTTAACTTCCATAATAGATGTGTTAAAGACATAGCCCACTGCTGTCCATCCCTGAAGATTTAACTCTCGCTTCTCAGGGGCCCCTTGCGTGCATTCTTGTTTACCACGGACTCCTCCGATGCCCTGCACGGAAGGAACGTTCTCCCTGCCCTCTTCACCCTCCTAGAACATTTGCTCTGACCTGTTGTTTGCTGCGGTCTCAGAACTGGCAGCAGGGCTTTCTCTGGTTTTGTGGTCCCTTTCCTGCTAGCCTGACACAAAGCAGACCCTCAGAGGCTTGAATGGGGGCACGGAGCAGTTAGCCGCTTATCAAGATAAGCCGTTCTATTCACTATTGTGGACACAGTCAGAGGATCACTTTCAGTCCTTCTGAGAAAGTGCAAGAGGCTCCCATCGCCAGCTGCCCCATGACACATTTCTTGGAGACATCGCAGATCTTCCCCAGAAGGCTTTCTGAAGCAGACATTGAATGAAGCCATGTTTATAAAGTGAGCGCGATCGATGCCTGGTGCTTAGAAACTCCTCACTAGTAGCAGTCGAACATAATGGAAATACAAACACGAACTTAGCCTTGCAAGATTATTTAACGCCCCCCCCCCCCCGCCCCCGCCTTTCCCCTCTACTGCCTCAGCAAGTCTTCATGCTGCTTGGTAAAATTCGGATTCCCTAAGCATCTTGTCCTGCGGCAGCAGCACCATCTTGTGGTTACATTAGGTTATGACAAAAATACATGATCGCTCCCAAGTAGTCAGACTGTAGGTGTGGAGGGAGCAGGTGATGTTGGAAGCAAACCTGGCCTTGGGGGCTATGTGACACATCCTAAATGACACGCAGGAAGTCTTAAGCTTCCCCCGTGTGACTTAAAGGCAGATGGTGGTTCTGGCCGTTTCTGCTGCCTCTGTCCTCTTTCCTAATTGGCTCTGCCCTAGTTCTGACTCCAGCTGGAGTTTTCTGGCGCCTCTAAAGCCGCATTTGAAATGAGTTAGCG